GTGGGGAGCATCATGGCCCAGGATGGAATTCAGCTGTCAGAACTGGTTCCATCCTGGGAGGTATCCAGGATCCTCAGTGAACTCTGGGCTGTTTCTCTCACACATACGTATGTAAAACTCCCTGCGGCCACCTTTGCACCAAAAATACGGGCTACTTAAAAAAAAATAGTCTTTTCACATCCTGTTTTCTTTTCACCAGGGCAAACATTCCATTTGCTCAGCAGATTAGCTACACATAGGTGCCCAGAGGGACAAGACAACAGAGCTAGGCTGGAGAGGAGCCCATCAAGGAGAACTCAAGAGCCCTTGGGAACTTCACTTTATGAGCTAACTAGGTCATTAGTGAAGGTGTGTAATAACAGCATAAGCAGCAAGAGACAGGGCCATGTTGGAAGGGTGGGGTAGAGAAAGAGAGTTGGGACAGATTCATGATAATAAGGGTGAGTTGGCCTGTTTTCCCCCCCATTCAAAAAAGGGATTTAAAAAACAAAGTTAGATGCCTCTTTCCACACACCTGGAGTTTGCATCATTCTGTCCTGGGCAGTGGGAGGAATTGAAACACTCTCTATTATAGAGGCAGCTGGTAGGATCATTGCCAGTTACAGGTAAAACAGCTACTGAACCTGCAGAGAACTGAGATTACCGGCATTACTTAGACCATAAACTCTTTGGGGCAGCAGCTGTCTTTTTGGTCTCTGTTTGTACAGTGCCTAGTACCATGGGGCCCTGGTCCCTGACTAGGGCTGCTAGAAGCTACAGTTATACAAATAATGTCAACTCTGCTGTAGCCAGAGTTAGAAAACCTGAGGCCATGTCTTGTGACAGAAATAGCTGGACTGTAGCTCAGTGATAGCAAAAACGATGGTCTGTTTCTCACGTTATTTGAATTTGACTTGCTGTTACACCCCACATAAGCCCTGTCCTCAGTCGTGTTAACCGCAATGCTTTCTGGGCATGCATCCCAGAGTTCCCACTGCTGCTTCAAACTGTGGGCTATGATGACTGCAATAGACCCTTTGTGAGGATGGGGGGAGAGGGCAAAGGCTAACAGAGATCCCCTCCTTTAACAGCACTATGTGGCTTAGTTGCTAGTGAGTCTCACTGCCAGCTAACTTGTCTGAGTGAGCCACCCCTGGGACTGGTCCTCCATTTGGATTCATCACTAGCTGGAGAGCTGGTATTGGGAGGATGGCTTTCCATATGGAGTTGATGATTTGGTGCTAGAGACTCCCCAGGCAGCACACTTAGCAGGAAGAGATGGTACAGGTGTGCCAATTCACCAGCTGGGCCTATGGTTTCTTGACCACTGTAGGGCTCAGTGGTATACAGCCAATATGGTCCAGCCCCACAAGCACAGGATGGTGGAACTATATATCACAGGAGCAGCAGTAGCCACAGACCTTAGGCATCAGGAAGGGCCTGTTTCTTGCCTTATCCATGCTTGGGATTAGCCCTGAATCAGCCAGTGTGGCAGTAAGCTGTAGTACTAACCCTGAACATACAGAAGGAAAGCTACAATTTGCACCACTTGAGGTTTCAAGCTGGGGTAAATTTGAGCAGCGCAAGCTGTTGCTTTTTCTTGTTGTCTAACTAGAGAGGTTTTTGCATTGGTGCAGCTACACCCATTGCTGCCCACTGAGGGCTGAATCCTGGCTAATCCCAAACACAGAGAAGGCCAGAATCACTTTTGAAAGTATGACTAATTAAGCAGAGCCACCTTGATCACACAGGGCAAGAGAGGGTAGGAGGTAAAGCCTCTTTTGACTTGCAAATCACCTGCAGTCACTTTCCTAAGTACATCAACCCCCTGCCATACATCTGCCAGCACAAACCAAGAGCCCGAGGGGGAATGTTTGTTCTTGCCCCTTGCCTAAATGAGGCAACAGCTGTTCCATGGGACTGACTGGCTGAAATCAGGTGGTTGAGGGGATAAGACCCACAGGCAGCCTTCATTAATCATTACTTTAAAAAAAAAATTAAGAAAAGTGTGTAAATGTACTAGGGCAGCAGCTGTGGGATCAGCACGTCCCATTTAGCACAGTACCTGCTGTCTCCTCGCAATGAAATATGGGGCTGTTTGTTTAGCTAAGTACCCTCCCTGTAATGCACTTGTTCTCTGAGGCAATAGAAATAATATTAAAGAGGTTCAGGCTTCTGTGCTGAGCTGGGCAAAGAGGAGGAACAGCATTCTTCCAGCACACAAGGCTGAAATATTGTTTTTTCACAGCATAGCACGGAGCTGTCTCTCACCTAGAGAAACAGCCTCACATTGAATGTTCCCTCAACGGGATTTCTAAGACACCTACATATTGATCTGACTTCCACTTCCCCTTCTTTCTACCAAAGGGTGTTTGTCTAGCTGCTAGGGTGGATTTTCCATATACAGCCCAGCTCCTACTGTCTCATACAGGAGTCACCAGGGGCAGAGTTTTCTCATCCCATCCACTGATAACACAGTTGAAGTATAAGCAGTCAGAGATCCAATTAGTCCACATGACCCTAAATGCAGAGCTAGCATTAATCAGCTCAGCAAAAACTACAGGGGAAGAAGAATTCTACCCCCTTTGGGCTCATTTGCACTGGAAAGTTACATTAACTAATGCTCTGAGTAGACTGTTTTTAACCAGGGGTTAGTTGTCTGGGAATAACCCTCAGGTCAGGTCAGCTATGGGCAGCTGGCAAAGTTAAACCCAACCATCCCTCTCTACATAAACACAGTTGAGCACGATCAGGTTAGTTAGTGTGGTTTCTTTAATTTTCTAGTGTAGACAAGCCCTGGCTGGCTGGTCTAGCTCCACCTCAAACCACCTCTGGGGCTGTACTTTGTGCCCCCTGTCCCATGTGCCCCCTGTCCCATGTGCACTACATTGGCACAAGTGTTAGGACTCATCTACATTCTAGAATTGCCCTCCCATCAGAATCACTGCCTGCACCTAGGGATCAGTACAGTGTTGTAAAGGCCATTCAGGGTTTGCACTGGGGTAAAATTTTAATGAGCTTGGTTAGGGCTATCCCCAATTTGCCCTTGCCTGCAACCATGCAGCTATGCCTATTGCTATCGTAGGGCTACTCCCTACTATATGACAAGGATAGTGTACTAGGCTCTGAGAAGAGACCTCTTATCTCAGTAGCAAGGCAGGAGCATTCACAACAGCACTTGTTGCAGTGCCAGTTTTCAATATCAAACATTCAGACTCCAATTAGCACTGACTGCACTCTGTCCCAGTGTTCCAGGCTCTCGGCCTCCTTTGTTGCATTTCAGTCCATTACTCCTCCTTCATGTTTATATTCCTTCCACTGTTTCTGCAGTTTGTAACATTGCTAATGCCCTGTTGCAAGAGAAGATTGACTGAGTTTCATTTTAACCCACTGAACTTTGGTATTTTATTGGTACCCAGCACCTTGTGCACAGAGAGGTGTGCCCAGATAGACAAATTGAATGGAATCATCATCTGTGCCCATAGCTACAGCTGAACACAGGACACTAGGACCCTAATGAAGCAAGACTTGGTCTACAATTAAAAGTTAAATTGGTATAGCTACATCTGTTGGGGATGTGAAGAGGCCAGACAAAGGGCAGGTTGCAGCAGTACTTTTTACTTTTGTTTAAAACAAAGTCAAACTACTCCCATGCAATGTTGACTGTGCTGGTGTACTTTGAGCAGGAGCCCTATCAAGGCTAAGTGGCTGGGCTACTTACCATCCAGTAGCAGCTCCAGGGCTGCTTCTTTTGAAGCATCACCCTCCCACAAATGTTTTTACACAGAAGGTGTTTGCTTTTTGGATGGCTTGTTAAGCCTTATTTCCTGCCCACGTTTCTAACCCTCTTGAGCAATAGCTGCTCATGTGGCTGTGTCCAGTAAGCTCGAAAGTTGGTTCAATAAAATAGCCAGGCAAGGTAGGAGGTAAGTGTAGAGTCAGTCCATTTATCCAGCATTTGCTGTTGAGCACAGGCCCTTGCTCAAACGCTACAGGAATCCCCTCAAAGAAACAGCTGAGTCAAGCTGAAGGCTCCTGAGAGAGGTAATGAAAGTATGAGGGGGAGGAGAAGGGGAGGAAGGGAAGAGCACAGAAGCTGGGAATGGGCAACAGGGGATGGATCACTTGATTACCTCTTCTGTTCATTCCCTCTGGGGCATCTGGCAGTGGCCACCATCGGAAGACAGGATACAGAGCTAGATGGACCTTTGGTCTGACCTAGTATGTCTGTTCTTATGTAAGCAGGAATCTGCTAGCACAGAGGGTTAGTGAATCAGGTCTGGGAAATGGGGGAGCAGAGGTGCATAGGGCTGGTTTGAAGACACAGGACTAACCTTCCTGTCCATAGTAGACAAGGATTAGTCTCACTTCAGCACCCCTAACTAGTCTCTACAGCAAGCAGGATATCAGCTGTCAGCCTGCAAGAGTAGAGCTTCATTTACTCAAGCAAACTCCCAGCCCAGTTATGCTGAAGTAATAGCCTGGTTCCCCTCCCCTTATGGCCTTTACAAGAGGTCTATATAACACCTAGCACAACCAGACTCCCTCCAGAAAGCCAGGGCCTCCAGCTACTACATGTTAAGTTTTTCTGTGTATACAAGTAAGTGCATTTTACCTATCCACCCCAGCCTCCATCAGCTAAGCCAGCCCTCAGATGCCAAGACCTGAATGGCCCAGAGAGAAGTTACTTCCAGGTCTATCTGGGCTTCCTCCAGATCAAAAGCGGTGTGGTAGGGAAGATTTGAGTCTGTTAGGGGAAGCACCTGCTTTCCTTGAGCCCCAGGAGCCTTTATTAATTAAAGTTAGTATTCACATTCTGCTTGCTGCAGCTTTTTGGAGCAGATTCACTTGCAGTCCACAAGCTCAGCCTTGCCTAGAAACTCCAGGGGCTATTACATAGCACCACAGAATTAGAGCTATCCAGAATTTCAGAGATGAGCGCACCATCCTGTGGTCATTACTGGGATAGCACCAGAACCAACCCAGTATCTGCAAGCAGCAGGGGACAGAGACATACAAAGTTTAAGTAAAACAGATTTTATTCTGGAGTGCAAGAAAAGTTTGCCCAGTCACTGCACAGTGTGCATAGGGCACAAACACTTGGTATTTCATAAAAAAACTAGAAGTTACAGAATTAAAAAACAGGCAAGAAGGACTGAGTCCACTAGCCCCCCAACTTCATTCACCCCAGGCAAGGCCTGAGGAACCTCAGAAAGCTGCAGTAAGTGGCCTTTGACCAATTAGTGCCTCAGCTGATGCCATACAGGCTAAGAGTGTTGAGACCAGTGTCAGTGAACCCCTTCTTCCCCCAAACAGAGTACACACTGTGCCCATTCATTTATATCCACCCGTAAGTGTCCAGCAAGCAGGCAAAGGGCTCCCCCACTATTGCACGCATTTCTGATCATGTCCTTATTAGGTTTTTTTTAAGTTTGTTAAAATCTAAGTCTAAATATTTAGTAGAAAAAGCCAAGTAAATACTACAGAGAACAAGATTGAACATCCATTAGTCATGTCCTTATCGAGTTGTGTACCACTTCTTGCTTGGTGTTTGTACTAGACAGCTAACACCCTGCCCTCACACAACCTAGTAGGTCTCAGAACCAGCCTGAGCTGCTGCTTGTTGGAGTTGCTCTTGGTGCACTTGTATTGCAGTCATACAAAGAGGGTCCAAGAGCACAGGGTTGGTCTCCTTGGAGTCTGTGGGGCCACCCTCCATGAACAGGTCTGGCAGAGCCATTGAGGGCACCTCCTCAAACCCAGCAGGCACTGGAGCCTCTATTGCTCCCGGTAGTGGGAGAGAAGCTGTAGCAATAGCTGGGCTATCCTTTAGGGGGCTGCTTTGGTCCCTGGCCAAATTGGCCCCAACTCCTCCCTCCAGCTTCATCTCTGCCCCCTCAAGCAAGCTCCTCACCAGAGGCTCAATGAAACTAGCTGGAGGCATCTTCTCTCCCTCACCGAGGTCTCCACCCTCTAGAACCATCTCTGGTTCTACCTCAGTGGCAACAGGGCATGGAGGTGGCTGCTTCTCTGTGGTGCCTGGAAGACCCAGGTCTCTAGTAGTTGGCTCAGCAGACACAGCTTGGCTGGCATTTGATTTCAAAACCATGGCATCATCCATGCAGGAGGCAACTATGGTGTTTATGTTCTGACCTTTGCCCCTGACAAGCAGATCTTCCACAGAAGGGCTGGTTTCTGATGGGCAAGAGGCATCAAGGGGTGCTAAAGACAGATGTTTGCAGCTGGCAAGGTCAGACTTCAGAGCACCACACTCTGAGTAGTGATTCGTCTCCCCAGAACCCTGGTCACCAAGGCCAAGAGGCTCGGCCACCTCACTTGCTGGGCCTGCACTCAGCTCCCCCTCACACATCTCACCTGCTGCTACAGTTTCTGCCTCCCCTTCATCCTCAGTGTTCTCTTTCCCCACAGACAGTAGGTTCTTGCTACTTGGAGACCCGCTACAGTCAGTTGCTTCAGAGTCCTGTGGGATTTGAGCAGTAGCACCCACCTCCAGGCTAGTTAGAGAGCCACAAGGGATCTCCTCAAGGTTGTCCCCTTCCTCTAGTAGGGTTATTGCTGGAAGGGGACTAGTAGTGCTCCTTCTGTCATCTTCAGAGCTTCTGCCGGGATCTTCCTGTTCCCTAGAGTTCAACATAGGGCTCATATCAGTTCTGCGATATGCCAGTTTGAAAGGGGAGGAAGCAGTTCTATTGTGTCAAGTGGGAGCATTGAGCCAGATGAGCGCTCCCAATGTAGAGATTTTAGTTGACAACCCTGCAGGCACTCCAGCCCCTGTGGGGCCCTGCTAGGTGTGGCATATTACTCTGCTGCTCCCAGACAGCTTTGGGGATGGATAGGGAACTTCACTAAGCATGCAAGACAGAAATGGGTCACTAGGGAGAGAGATTTAGAGGCACAAAGGGCAGTTCAGGTGCCCAGCTCCCACATGGGCCTTGGAAAGTCTCCCTGTAAGCAGTTGGAGACACAAGAAGCCAGCCAGTTCACCAATTTGTTTTTGGAGCAGAAGGGTAGGCTATAGTTAAGGCACCCAGACTAGAGGATTGGATTGATTTCCAATTCTGCCACAGACTCCTTGTTGTCTCCCAACCTCCATCTGTGCAATGGAGATCTATTGAAAGAAAGGCAAGAGAAGGGAAGTACTATTAAAGCTGGCAACTTATTGAGGCAGGGACCATCTCTTCCTGTATGTCTGTACAGTGCCCAGTAACCCAGGACCCTGGTCTGAGGTCAGGAGCTCTAGACATATTTAGAGGCCACCAGCCCTTCCAATCTTAACACCGTCAAAAGAAATTTTGTACCCCAGAGAAGGTTCTCAGAGCTGGCCAAAAGAATTTTGGAATGGGTGAAGACTGGAAGAAAGTGTTATAGCTTAAACATTATGAAAGATTTCCTACAAAATAGGGTTGTCGGCTTTTTAGTCCGCTCCAATCTTCTAGCCCTCATCCATCCTGTGGCCCTTTTCTTGCCGATGCCATGGTTGCTTTTAATTTTGTTCAAGGAGAAACCTACAGCAGGAACATGCTACTATGCACAATTGTAGGCTAGTTCTAGTCTTTTAGAAGAGTGCTCACCTACAGATAGCCAAGCTGGTAGAGTTATTCAGCAGCTAGAGCTAGCCAGGAGAGGGTCCAAGCTCACCCTTTGGAGGAACTGGAAAAGGACAGTGGGTGCAGGACTGACATGTATGCCTGCTGTTCTAGTTCTGTGCATTACAGGAGGCCACTTTAATCTTCCTGCAAGCAACTCCCCTCCTGCCAGAGGCACCTAGCTCAGCATTGTAGAAGCTGGATGTGGTTGCAAAGAGCTTCCAGCAAGTTAAATTCCATCCACATTAGCAGCTACAGAGCACTTCATTGCCATGCAAACTTTTGGTTTACCTCTGTGGGCAGTTATCCTCCTCTCTGTAAGCCTGGGAAGCACAGACACCACTAGAAGTCCCACTGCTAGGGACTATGATGAGGCTCCCAAGGGGTTGAAGAGTCTGGCTTGAAGTGGGCATGTTGCCTGAGGAATCCAGAGGGCCATCTGCAAGCAGAAACAGAAAGGTTCTTAATACTTGCTTCAGACATGGACAGTGTGAAGACTTCGCCATTGTTCATGTGTTCTCCACTGGGACCTGTGCCTCAGACTTGCTTTTGGCCATTCACATCCTGGTGTTCATACCTGTTTCAGAGCAGCTTTTGCTCTCTTTCTTGGTCACGGGCTCCTGCTCATATTCTGAAGATGCAGCCTCTTCCACTCGGGACATCCTGCCCTTTGGAAGAGGAGAAAACAGATCGGGGAGAGTTCAGTGCCAGGCACAAATGATCACCGCCAGTTACTGTAGCTAGCAGGGAGATTTAGTTACTTCCCTTCACCCAGTGACAAGCCAAGGAGGAACACAATACTTGATCTCCTTCCCTTAACACCCTCCATTCTTACTCCTTTGTCCTCATTTAGCCAATCAAGTCAGCCTCTTCAGGAAATCCCTTAACAGACCTGTTAAATGGCACCATTTCCATAAGTTCTGTCTAGAAGGCAGCAGTTTAACACCCTAGGGTGCTACAGCTAAGGTAGCCCCAGCCCTTACTTCTCTGGACATGGACACTGGTCTCAGGGAGACCCCACGGCGGATTGTATCCAGCACTTCCTTCATGCTGTTCTGCTTGGACAAGACATGTTCATCTGCAGGATGAAAAGGTATGGTTAGACATGAGCCTTGGAGAGCTCTCTTAGAAGGTAGCTCAGGGAAAGTGTAGCCTCCAGTTCAGGGAAGTAAGGACCAATACAGGGGACAGAGCTGCTTCCCACAGCACCTCCAACTCTGTTTTGGTGAAGCCCTTTCATCCACCCCTCCAGGAGGGAGACGGGGGGGCTCATTCAGCTGGGCCAGGCCACATGTGCCCAATTCAGATTCAGGATAGTTACATGTAACACTGACAGTGTCTCCTCCCTGCAGCCCCAATGCCCTAGCTGGTGAGAGCTAGCACAGGCTGGTGCTACACATACCACAGGGGGCACTTCCCTGCTTCGGTGGAGTCTGTGCCGCTGGCTTCACTGCTGACTTCTTGTTCATTTTAGAGAGGAGGAGTCTGGAGAGAGAGAAAAAAGGAAAAAAGCATCTCATGCCTGAGCCCCTCATCCTTTGCAGAGTTCCCCTCCCACTGTCATCCAGCAGCAATGCAGCATGGGAGCAGTGCTACAGCCCAGTCATGGCAGATGGTGGAGGAGGCAAGGGGAAAAAGCTATTTCTAGATCCCTGTGTGCTGGCTCAGAGCGCAGGTCTCTGCCAGGGTAGAGGTTTTCTAGTGATGCTGAGTCCTTAGCACCACCTTCGGCCAGGGCCAACCACTGAGTAGCTACTGCTACCAGGAAAAAAAAATCTTTGGTGAATGAAAGGTAAAGGTCAGACCCAGGAGATCTGGAAGGAGGGGAGTTGGAACCTGTCCAGCAGGTATGCAATTATACAGCAGGATCTGATCTCCCAACTTCACAGCCCTGTTGCTTTTAAAGCCACCCACCCCACAAACAACTCTGGTACCACAACCATCAGAGCACTACCACTACACATCTAGCTAGTGCCACTGCATCAAAAGAGGCTAGATCTAGACTGTTCTCCATGGTACCAGATGACAGAACAAGGAGTAATGGTCTCAAGTTGCAGTGGGGGAGGTTTAGGTTGGATATTAGGAAAAAACTATTTCACTAGGAGGGTGGTGAAGCACTGGAATGGGTTACCTAGGGAGGTGGTGGTGGAATCTCCTTCCTTAATGGTTTTTAAGGGCAGGCTTGATGAAGCCCTGGTTGGGATGATTTAGTTGGGGATTGGTCCTGCTTTGAGCAGGGGGTTGGACTAGACCTCCTGAGGTCCCTTCCAACCCTATATTCTATGATCACAGCCAAGTGCTCACAGGAATGTCCAGGTGTCTCCTACAGCCAAGTGTCCTAAATCCAGAAAGGTTAATCTTCACTGCAGAGTTAACTCGAGTGTTACTCCTAACTTGACAGGCACACTCTAGACAAGAGCAATGGTGTTTCTAACTGGAGTTGGCTGGTCCAGTTGGGTGAGCAGCACTTACCAGTTGCTAATGGGATCATGTGTGTGGTCATGGACTAGCACCACTCAAGTGCCACCAGTGGCAAGGCACTGCAGGACAATTCCCCCACTCCTGGGCACCCAGGACGACAGATTTTTTTCTCCCCCCACAACTGTTCGGGAATTCATGGAGCAGCTCAGCCTACTGCAGAACTAGAACCATGGGATGTTTCCCTAGAAGTCTTAAGGCCGTGAGCGAGTGGTATTGCCAGTGTGGCCATTATAGTCACAACCAGAATTCCTCCTGGCTGTACTCCCACAGTAGACCTAGGAGTTCTTGAAGGCATTGAAGGAAGCTATTTTCCCCTCACCATAGCAAGGTCTGAGGGTGGTACATCATGAAAAAGCCTATTTTGCTTCTAAAGTCATGAGCATTAGTTAGGGAACATCTCCCAATGCTGATAGAGCCCAGGTGGCACAATACCCTTCCCCAAGAGGGCTTAGGAACCCTGGACTGTGAGTTGTGACTACATCAGCATCCCCAAGGCAGTGATCCAGCCAGGATGGGGACTTCAAGTCCCAACATTGCCAGCTACACGAGGGACCTGAATAGAGTTTGGCAAAATATGTCAAAGTTTGTCAAGTGGAAAAATCCAGATTTTGCAACACTGAGAATTTAGAATTTATTTTTTTTTAAGCAAAATCACCACAAATTTCTGGAAAAAAAACCTAAGTGTTTGTTTTTCAGTTTTGAGTGACTGTTTCGGAACTCTTATCAGAGGAGTTTAAAGATGAGAGAAGTCAAAACTCAAATATTGCAGAACAAAGTTCCGGGTTTTAAATTAGCTCAAAGTTCCGGTTCAACTCAAAACCAACTCTTCAGTTCACTGGCAAATCCAAAGACTCAGTTCTCTGCAGAGTTGTAGGTCTGAAACCTGGGTGGAAGGTGCAATTTGGAGTCTTCCCCCCACTACTCCTGATACCCATTTAGTCATCCCAGCCCCACAGCCGGGTTTATCTCTAGGGTTTGAGTTTGTTGTAGAGTCGCCCATCTATACCCATCCCTTCATAGTGATGAGAGAGTTGTCACAGGTCTTACCTGATGGAAGAAAGTTGCAGGGGAGGGGAAGGTGATGGTGGAAGAGACTGAGGAGCAGTAGCCAATAGAGCTAGGGTGGTTGGAGAGGGACCCTCAGCCTGCAGGCGCTTCTGCAGAACAGCAACTACAGAGGGGAAGAGGGAAAGAAACATTCCATTTAGTGTCAATGTTGGCATCAGCAAATGACAGCTCTGGATAGTGGTTACACCAAGGGCATGACAGTTAAGTGCCCTGGATACAAGTCACTTGACTTACCTCCCAGGTGTGTAAGGAAAGGGGGAGATTCACCTCTCTCTGAAATGCTTTGAGCTTCCATATATAGGTGTTTGGCATGGTCAGTGTGGTCTCCCTACTTCCACCCCCAGATGGACAGCAAGTTTGGAGCAGCTTTTGTTCCTGGCCACACTCCAGCCTCCTTTCCCACAAGGGAGTATTGCTCCAAGCTGGGAATCAGCCATATATGTGGTGCAAAGAATTTCACACTTCCCCACACCTCTAATGCATCACACACAGGGTCCTTACTCTCACGCTTGAGGTCCTGGATGCTCTCCTCAGCCCTCAGAGCTCTGCACTCCAGCTCCTGCTTCTCTAGTAGCGAGCGCTCCAGGTGCACCTGCAGCTTCTCACCCAGGCTGGGCTGGACAGAATTATGCCACTCCACCTGTACAGTGCGAGGGGGTCAGGGAGAAAGTTCAGTCATCAGAATCCAGACCTTCTCAATGCTCCCATGAGAGCCTAAGTGTCTGCCTACCTCTGGGCACATGAGGCGCTCCAGCTCATTCACACGGCAGGACAGCTGTCTGGTCCACGACTGAGAACATTTCAGTTCCTCCTCGAGCTCTGAATTGAAAGATCCAAGTCACTGAAGACACTATCCACATTTCCACAGCACACTCATTAACGTGCTTACTTACTTTTGACTGTATGCTCCAGGATACAATGAAATGCAGCCACCTCTAGAGCAGAACATGGCAGCTGTTTAGATCACAGCAGCAGTGTTAGTCAGGAAGTGAAGATTACTACCTCTCACTGCAAGGGGGGGAATTTAGGCAGAGTTATCTAGTTGGGCCAAGACACTGGCCAAGTGGTCATAGCCTTATCTTCACCTTATGGAAAGATGCTACCTTGGATAGTGCCCCATTGTGGAGCCACGGGGCATTCAGGCCAGTTCTAGCACTGAAGTCACTGCAGCAGACTGGAACGCTTGCACACAGGAATGGTTTCCTGCAGCACATGCTCCATGCCCGTGCTTCACCCCCCTGCAGAACTGAGCTTACCATGAATGCGCTGTAGATAAAGTAGTTCAGCATTTTGATTTGGTGTTTCTCTGGTCTGAGGCTCTGCATGGGCAGGAGGAAGAGGACGGTCATGCTGGGGACTCGCACTAGTCTGGAGTGGAGCCTGGCAAAGAGTTTCTTTGTATTACAGTAGCTCCTGAAAACACCCCTCCCCCCCCGCCCAAGTCCCATTGTGCAAACTGCTTTACAGAGGCCTGACCGACAGTTGTTCCATTGTAACTAGTGTTATTGTATACAGATTTAGTTAGACTGATGCCTTTGTCTTGTTCTATTGCGTTAGCTTAGATCAGTACATTTGCTGATACAAGCTAAACCAAAAGAATGAGTTTGAAACAAGTGAGATCAGGCACCAGTCTAATGAAAATCTGAGTTAAACCCAGGTAACTGTGTTTAGACAAGACCAGCTACATAGCAAGAGAAGTACCAGCCCTGAAGAGCCTACAATCTAAGTAGACAAGCTAGACACAGGGTGGGAAGGGAATAGAGTGACCAAATGTCTTGATTTCATAGGGCCAGTCCTGATATTTGGGGCTTTGTCTTATATAGGTGCCTATTACCCCCCATCCCATCCTGATTTTTCACACTTGCTGTCTGGTCACCCTAAAGGGGAAGAGACTTTCCCAAGGTCACAAAGCAGGCCAGTGCCAGAGATGGGAGCAAGATCTAGGTCTCCTGACCCCCAGCCCAGCACCTTATCATCCAGCCTAAAGCTTCCCTGGATGTTTTCCCTGGTGCATAAAGTAGGGCTTGGCAGTGAGAGCTGGTTGTATTTGCACAACAGGAATAATGCAATACCCATCTGATATAGTGCCCACCACCACATCTCAAAGTGAGACATTTATCATAATCCCCCATTTTACAGATGAGAAAACAGAGGGGTGGGAAGTGACATGCTCAAAGTCACAAGTTGGTCAATGGCAGAGCCAGGACCAAGTCTCTTGACTCAGAGTCCAGTGCTCAGTTCTCCAGGCTGTACTACTGTCTCCCATGCACTAGATTCAGTCCCAGCTACCCTGCAAAGTGGACTTAACCATATTGGGAAGGTACCACTGCTATAATAGCATGCGTCCCAGAAGGCAGGATACTTTGTAGCATAACCTGGATCAGAGAACGTCTACACAAGTGAATAGCAGTCTGAGGAAAGAGAATCCTTGCATAGTCATGGCTAAATACAGCCAGTACCCATCAGATCAGAGTATGAAAAGGGGCCTAACTGGAAAAAATTCAAGAATGCAGAGGACAGAGAAGACACCCTGCTCTTTTTCCCAGCCAAGGTCATTTTGCATCTCTAGAAAACCCAAAAATACAGAGACCCAATCACTGCAGTATCAGTCTGGAGGATGATTAACCAAAGAGCCTAGCCTGGAACAAAAGCGGGAGGGGAGCTCAGGGACTGCAGAGTGTTTGTTTTAAGCCACATCAACCTGATGAGTTTTGCATTTAAAAGGATGCTGGTAAGGCTGTGACGTTAACACCTCCCTCAAGCTAGCAGTTGTCGTTTCCCCACCCTGCTTGCTAGTGACAATTTTCTGTAGGGCAACCGAAAGTTCTCTGAAAGAACATTGGAATCGGTTTTAATTCCCCAGTCCCAGGCACTTGTTTCCCAGGACACAGAGTTAACCCAATATTGTTTTACCACTTCAATGATACCACCCTCTAGTGGTGCATCCACACTAGGGGCTGTGCTCATATAGCTATTTCAGTAAAAAGTCATACACACCCCCAAAATAGTTAAATCAATATAGAAGTGTGGAGACAATCTTCCACACAGTCCCACTGCTGAAAACAGGACTGCCTGTGAAGGAGAAGCAGTCAGTCTTCAGAGAAGATTTAAAGGGGATGAAACTAAAAACCTCAGTTGCTGTGACATGAGTGCAAGACACCTGTTACCAAATCAAACTAGGATCAAAGCCTTATGTACACAGGAAGGTTGCATTAGTTTATCTTAATCTATTTTAAAAACCAATTTAAATTCAGCCAGTGTCAGCTTCTGGGTAGACACTCTTATTTCAGTTTAAGAGCACCTCATTTTGGTTTTAGCGTAAGTCTATTTTTAATTGGCCTCAGCTAAAGTGAAATAAAAGTCTAGTTTAAACCCAAAACAACATCCACGCAGCCTTTCGCACCCGTTTAAGTCTGACACTTTCTCAGTTAGACAAGCCTTAAGTAACTACTCAAGGTACATGGGTGAATCAGGCCAAACCATGGACTAATACTGCCACTTAGCGGCTGTATTGGTTTGTTACTGTTTAGGATTCGCTTTGCAGTTTGTGTAGTTCAGACCTGACCCAGCCTCTCCAGGTGAGGATTGTGTTGGCTGATTATCCTGAAGGGGATTGCCTAGGCTCCAGACTGAATGGCTATTTCACATTTTATTAATAGCTACAGCATTTAGTATTGTCAAGTAAGATCTCAATATGAAGGTTTCTCACCACCACCTCCCACCTTTTGGGATTGCAACAGATTTTAAGACTCCTTTGGGCATCAATCCATCTGGTGATGTTTCTGAGGTAGCTGGCTTACTACCTAGTTAGTTCTATTATCTTCTGGCAAAACAGCTTGTCATGCCAGTGGGCTCATTGAATTAATGCTATCTTCAGAACACTCATCTGATGCAGAAATAAAGTTTCCCCTCTTCTGTTTTACAGAGGAGAGATTAAGTGATTTGTCCAAGGTCAAACAGGGGATCTGTGGCATAGCTAGAAACAGGGTCCAAGTCTCAGAGGTTCCAGTCAGTCTTAACCACAGAGATCAATCAATATCTTCTCCCAGCATGGGCACTTAAGTTCTCCTTGTTTCCTCCCTTCCCCCACATTTCACCCCAGAACATTTCAGCCAGAACAAAACAATTTGGCAACAAATTGGAGACAAGAGCCTTCCTTTCTCAAGTACAAAAGAAAACTGTCCACTTTGAGGCCTAGAGGACCAAGCATACAATAAATATGAATCTCATTGTTTAGAGTGAGCAATCTTTAATAGAGTTAGGAACGGAATGTGAATTGCCATAATTCACTACCTAAGCCTGGGGCTAGTTACAGTTTGTTTTCATATCAGATAAAAACTTTAGTATCTGCTGCAGAAAAGTTAGTTTTGGGAGTCCCCGCAGTACTCTAGATTCTTCTACACTCACTAACTCAAGAAGAGGCATTCCAGCCACCAGAGAACAGGCTTTCAAAGCTGCCTTAGGAATTAGGGTACCTAGTACAGTAGCTAACAGGCACTGGGGAATCTATGTGTCTAAGGCAGGCTTGAGCACCTCAGATTTATATGCTAAATTATATGACTTCACAAGAGCGCTTCCAGTCATTACACAGGCTGCTTCAGTGTTAAGTGGCTATTCTAAGCAAATGCACACTCAGACTAGAATAGTTCACCAGTGCCCCAAAAGCTGTCATTACACACGGCTAGAATGGGTTATTTGGAGTCTTACCACCACCCCATCCTCTGGACACACAGGGCCATCAGAGACACACAGTGGAAGCGGCTCCTTCTTCTGAGGCTCTAACACACCATCTAAAGAGGAGAGATAGTAACAGTTTCCCCACACACACTTCCACAGATATGGATACAGCCAGATCTCTTGTTAAGAAGAGCGCAGTACTAAAGTTAATGGGAATCAGATTTCACATGCCTAATGAAAGACAATATGCAGGAAAGGCAAGACCACTGTAGCAGGGGATATAAGAAGTTATCTTTATGCCTTACACCAGAAGGTAGCCTGATCATTAATCTCATTTAAGTTATAGTCCAGTTTTTCAGAAGCTACTAGCTATTTTAGGTACCCAGTCAGACACCTTAAAACGCTTGACTTTTAGAAATTGCTGAGCACCCACCAAAAAAATAAATCCACACACTTTAAAGGTGTCTCCAGTCAGGTAACTAGAGTCACTACCTACTTTCAAAAATGTTAGCCTACAGCTTTTTTCAGCAAGAAGAAAGTTATAGCAATGCAGGAGAGGGCTGGAGGAAAGAAAAGAGAAAAGAAGCTTCAAGTTGGGTGTTTTTGCCAAAGTTCATAATTCTAACAGCAATTAAAAAAAAAGAATTCAAGTCTCAGGAAGTTTTCATCCAGCTCTAGGGTTACTAGACTTGGAGCCCATTATCATGTTAAAGTCCTAGAGAACCATGACTGAGCAGATCATTTAACCAAAGAGAACCTACCACTAAAAATTTATGTTACACATTAAAAAACTAACCTTTTATACACTGACAGCAAAGTACACTCTTTACACTGGTCCATAAGTGCCTGGAGGAAGCCATTGCTTAACTGAACACATAAGACAGCCAACCCTGCTTCTGGATCACTTATATTAAGTCTGTGCCCCTTTGCCAAATCAGCGGGGCTCTCTCATTGGTGAAGCCACAACAATTCGTTAGCACCTCCAAGACTATCAGCAGCCAGCAATTAGCTTTAAAGGTATTGATACTGCTGCTCTTTTCTCACCCCCTATAAGGAAGGTGCTAAGTGACGAAAGGAAACGCCTTTCATCAGGCGGCAGCAGGCTTGTCAAATGAGAAACTATTGCAGCACATTGACAAATAGATCCTTGCAACCTTCGCCAGGCAAGTGAGAGTGACTGATAGACAGGGACCTCAGTTATAGCTAATACATTGGCTTCTTAGTCACACTTAATTCCAGCCCATTCATGTTCACAGGGATTCTTTTATTTGTTTTTTAATGAACCTCACAATTTAAGGGCAGGTGCCCGTGCCTGGCTCCAAAACACTCCTGCTCCGTGGATGTTTGCATAGCCTTCGTCCCGGCTGCTGCAGGGCTTCAGGAATCCCTTCCCCCAGCCTGAGCAGTGTTTTAAATCCCTTTTGCCTGAGGTCACTTCTGAACTTTGGACCCTCTCCTGTAATGAATGTTTCCAAACCAAGAACAAGCCTCAGGGCGCAGGCAGGTCCAGTCTCCCTTAGCTGGACAGAGGGTTCGCTCTGCTGCCATAATTTAAAGCCCTTATTAAAGGGCTTTAATCATAAGACTTTCCTCTAAGGGGGATTGTGGCCCTGTACTAGAATTCAGGAGGCTCCTGTTCAGTTCCTGGTTCTGCTTTGGAACAATCTCCATCTCATGATTTTTTGGACCCTGCCTTACGCTTGCTGAACGATCGATGATGGCAGTACTAGTGCCTGCGTGCCCTTGGGCAAGGCCCTGATTCCAAAGGTATTTAGACTCCTTTCGCTGAACTCCATGGAAGTTAGGAGCGTAAATACCGTTGAGGGTCTAGACCCTAATCTCTCTGTGCTTCAACTCCCCCTCTGTAAAATAATACTTCCTCTCTGCTCACCCTTTGTCTGCCCTGTCTATTTTGACTCTTTGGCGCGCACACACAGTGATTGTCTCTTACTAGGTGTATATACAGCACCTGGCTCTATGGGGCTCAATATGAGGGTACAGGAAATATGTGGCAGAGCTGGAACTGACTCCAGACTTTCTTAGATGCAAGCCAGTGCCTCAACTACAAGACCATTCTCCCCCTTTCCATCAAAGGCCCACAAGATGCTTTACAAAAGGGAGTCAAGTATCAGGGGGTAGCTGTGTTAGTCTGTATCCACAAAAACGACAAGGCGTCCGGGGCCACCTTAAAGACTAACATTTATTTGGGCATAAGCTTTCATGGGTAAAAAACCTCACTTCTTCAGATGCACCTGAAGAAGTGAGGTTTTTTACCCACGAAAGCTTATGCCCAAATAAATCTGTTTGTCTCTAAGGTGCCACCGGACTCCTTGTTGCTTTTATAAAAGGGAGTATCATTTTCATTTTACAGATGGGGAAACTGAGGCATATAGGCATGACATTAACCAAAGTCACCCACTGAGTCAGAAACGCCTTTCTGCTGGCTCTTGGCATCCTTCTCTGCTATGCTCTGTATTGTCTTCCATTTTTCTACTCCTCCTCTCCCCTTTTTGAGAACAGCAGGGAAGGAATGAATGTTACTCTCATAAAGGTGTGCCTGAAAAAGACAAGATATACATCCAAGACTGGCAATGCAATTATAAATTCCATTTTCCTAGAGATAATGGCTTCTGAAGTGTCTTGCTGAGGGAAAAACACATATTTTCCAGTAATTAGTTTGAACATTTAAGTGACTTTAAAAATATCAACTAACTCCTTCATCTGCTGCAAGGCCTTGTTGGATTCCTGTACCTCAGTGAATTTCAAAATGGAATGGCTGTTTGATGTAGAGGAGGAGACCTCAGGGAGTCCTGGGTTTTATCCCTCAAGCAAAAGGAAACTTTATTTACAGGAGATGGCTGTCACAGCAGCACTGCAGAAGTTGGGGAAACTCCAGGCATGGCCCTTAAAAAGTGTACTGAAGTGCAAGGGGGCACGGCCCTTAAAAAGTGAACAAGGGCTTATGTTTCAGGCTTTTTTCCTACTACATTCCCCTACTTTTTTCTTTTTATGGGGAGGATGTTTACGCATGTTTACAGTGGTACCATTTTAACTATAAAGTGACATAACCCTCTCCCCACATACACAGAGCAATTTATTACCTCACCCACCTTGTCTCTCCTATCCTGGGACAATATGGCTATAACACTACAAACTTATGGCAGTATAACATATTCCCAACTAGGGCGGGAAAAGCTAAACCTGTATAACTGGATCCACCTTAGAGGTTGTACCAGTGTAACAATGTCAGTATTAAACCCCCCCGCCCTAACAGTTATGGTACACAAATTGTGTAGATCCAGGTTCAGTTGCAGTAGCCTGGGGATCTGGAGTAGGGCCCATGGAAAATCCCTTATTCTGAAGCTTTACCCTCAGTTTGTGCCCCTTTCCTTTAGTGTATTTCTAATACATGCTTTCCTAAGCCTTTTCTGGTGCAAACTAACAATTGTGATGCACAGAGTTGCTGGTGCCATGCTATCCCACCCTTCCTGAAAACTGACTTCAGCCCAGACAGCAACTCACTCTTCCCACCCATTTTGCCTAGCTGAAGGATTAAGCCCCAGAGTTTATGGCCATTCAAATGCTCATGTTTTGCAGACTATATCACCCTAGCCAGGAGGCAGGATGAGATAACTGGCCTAAAGGTAGGATGAGTCAATCACCCACCTGACTTTCAGCAGAAACTGTTAATGCTAGTGACCCTGACACATTGTGAACTCACTCCACAGAGGAGTATGGTAAGGACTTGTACTACGTTCATTTGCCTTTGGGATAGTGAACTCCCATAATGGGGTAAAGTCAGTGAATTGGGTATGTGGGGTTGTAGTCATGTTGGTCACACTATTAGAGAAACAAGGTGGGTGAGGTATTTTCTTGGCCCAACTTCTGTTAGTCAGAGACAAGCTTTTGAGCTACACAGAGCTGGATATTTCAATGAGACAAGGTGGGTGAGGCATTGTAGTGCCAAGACAGTTTTGGTGAAGTGCTAAAGTGTGGGGGGGTTTTCCTCCTCCAGAGGCAGGTTTGTATCAATTGTGGGGCATGTAACAGTAGCTCAATTCCACTCTATGGCTCTCTCTATATTTTCCCCACCGGCAGCAGCAACAATGGGGATACTATGGCAGAGCACAAGCAGCTCCTGCTGTTTTACCCACCCTGCCATCTAGACCCGTTCCGAGCTAGAGCAGCACTCCCAGCAGTGGAAGTGTTGGGGGGGAGAAGGCTAGAGACTAACTTATTTGCTAGCACAACCCTCCACCTTTTGTTATTACAGCAGCAGAGCCCTGTAGACATGTAACAGAAGACACCTGCCATACAAATTTGAGTAGAGACCTCAGAAAATGCTCACAATGAAATCTGAAGGAAAGGCTTATCCTGAACTTTGGTATCTGTCCTACCTTTATTCTGAGAAGAAACTGTCATGAGACATCAAATTATTTGCATTAGTGGAGAGCCATGAAGAAACCATAGTCATTGACTAGTGCTTGGCTCTGTGCACAGACCCAAGATGATCCAGGCAATTTTCAGAGCAGGTTTGGTTGTGATCCTGCCACTGGAAGAAAGCTAGGTGGTTGCTACCCCCTACTCCTTGCCATCTCCTCTCCCCTCTGTTAGATGTTGTCAGGAACCCAGCACCAGAATATATGCTTCTCAGGAGGTCTGTACTTCTGTAATATTTTCCATTTTCATAAAACAATCATCAGTTCAAAAGCCACTATGAATGTTGGTAACTGAAGCTAATTCATTGACCGTATCTTATTCCCTTTTGAAGAAATTTCAGAAGAAGAGATTTGGCCTTGGTTGCACAGGAAGATCCAGGAATAGAACCAGGGTCTGCCTAGTTCCATTCCTCTCCCCCTTACCATAAAACCAACCTCACACTCTAAGCTTCCAGTGTATTTCAGAAACTGGAAGATGGGCTCATGGCTATATATGAGCACTGAGCCACTACAGCTAATACTGGGGAGTTAATCTTAAGTCTACACCTTAGACATGGTAATTGTCTAAGTTTCAATGTCCACTGTTACATGTTTGTAGAATTAAAGATTTAATCCAGGGATAAATGTCCTCTAGGTGCAGAGCTATTTTTTGCCAATGCCTCTTTATGCACCAGTACCAACCCCATAACTAGTTGGGAAACGAAGCAGATGTGTGCAGGATCAGGTCTCCTGTAAAATTTGCCTGCAAATGTGAGGAAGATTTGCTACAATTTTAACCAGTAGGTCTCAAGTTTTGTAGTTTAGCGTAGCGGGTGTGTGTGTAAAATGGTTTCACTGGAATTGGGAGATATTCCTGCTTTCTATTCCAAATGACTTCACAGGAAAGCATCTTTTCACTATAGAGCCACAGACTTGATTTCTTCAACATTTATTTTTCATATTTAACTTATTCAGATATCACATTTTCTACATTAAAATATTCTCATGCTAACACCTTCCCATTCCCCCCTCCCCAAGAAAAATAGAATTGATACAGCTTTAAGATGGAATGCACTAAAGAAACTGCTATTGCACCCGAGTTACAGAGACCAAACAATAGAAAGTTAGACCTGCACAGGACAGAGCTGCAGGGCAACATCAGGGACAAGCTGAAGTCAGGGTATTCGGCAGAGTTTAAACCATGTTACAGCTCTGAGTTTAACACCTGTCTAGGCAGGTACTAACGTGGTTTGCAACTCATGCATGGATAGACAAAATAACTTGAACTGACCAGATTAGCCTGGAAATGGAAAGCAAATAAGGAACTCTAAAACCCTCTGAAACCTGATTTAAAGTAATTCCAAGCATGGAGATACTGGCTGGGTTAGGAGTGTTTTGGAAACACTTAACTGTTTGGCCGGATCTAAACTGGCTAGCCAAATCCATATTTGGAAGGGTGATTTAAACCAAAGTTAAAACATGGTTTAAGGCCCAATGTCATCCAGAGAATGATTTAACACAGAATTCAAAATATCCTTTCATAGGTGCCAAGAGTTGCCTTCTGCCTCTCTGCATCATTTAGTACAAGACTTCTACATTACAAAATTAACTGGGGCCCCCCACAACACTACCAATACAATTGTATCTGGAGGACCTGGTATAAGGTTGTCTCCTATAATGGGATAACAGTTCAGTTTTGTACTGAGGAGAGTTTGAAGCTTTGGACAGTCTACAGTGTTGTACTATCAGGCATTTGCATGATTTGGAACAGCGCTGGGCTTTAGCCCCTTTTCACATTTGTGATTTCTATATTTCAGGGAGTGGAATGGTTGGAGTAAGTTTCCTGCTTCTCCACCTTTTCCAAGGGGCAGTTCAACAGGTTGATTGACTCCCTAGTCCAAGATAAGGACAAAACCTATGATCCTCATATAGAGACCTACTGCTTTGGATCTCTGAAGAGGTAGGAATCTTGCTGTGCTACTTGGAAAGCATTATTTGTGCAAATGTTGCAACTTCATATATGCATAACTCTGGGGACAGCAGCAAAATGATCAAGGATCCCGCAGCTCTAATTAAAGCCAACAGTGAATTGTGTTCTGGTATCAGATGTACATTGCCATGTAGCCAACTTTCCTCTTGCTAGTCTGTCCATCCATCACAATAGCAGGTCAGCACAGAGTGCCATCTGTTCTAGGCAACAGCACAGCAGCAGCACATGATCAGGCTGAATGCAGATGCTCTGGGCAAGAGGGGGGCTACCACTTGCTCCTTGGCTCCCCCTAAATAACTAGTTATATTTGTTCCTGGTTTAGAGACCAAGTGCAGCTTCTGGTAATCCCTCTCCTGAGATGATTTAAAGGAAGTCAATCTAGAAGACATAATTATAGTAACTGCAGTTACATACATCTACAAAGATAGGTGACTTTGAAGCTTCTTCCCCCTCAGGAAATTTTACCAAAACCACTGAAGATCCAGGATTTGGAAAGAGATATTTTAAATTCTTATCAGCTTAACACATCAGGAACACTGGCACAACATGTCACTTATTCTTGGTTTTAATTACAGGAGTGACAAGTAAACACCAACACATGAAAGAGGAAAATAAACAGCCTTTCACAGAGTACAGAGCTAGAGATGAAGCCGTGGCTAGTGCTTTGCAGTGGAGTCTCGAGGGTAGAACTCTGCCAGGGTGCTCTGAGGAATCCTCTTTAGCATCTCTTTGGGGAAGATTCGCAGAAGCTGCCAGCCAATGTCC